AGGGGCGGTCTCGCCGGCTCTCCCTCAGGAGTGCTTCCACCAGTTAGCCTCTCACTGCCCGAATGCTGAATGGAAAGCTTTGAGAATTTATTTTCTTGCTTTTTTTTTGGCTGAACATAGGACTAGAGTGGCCCACACTCCCTGTGTTTCATAATGTGTCTCAATACTGAGCACTTCAAGTTACGTGAAGGTTCTCTGTAGAAATGAAATAGCAATGGGGTAAAATCAAATACAGAAAGTTCCCTCTCTCTTCCCCCTCCTGCCCCATTTCTTTCCTCCTAGGGAATTACAGAGTTGCAAAGACTAGTAAAATTCAGGTTTCCCCCTGAGGGTGAACGCGTACTCAGTTGTCGTTTCTAGACACCAGAAGCAACCAACCATCGCTAAATAACGTTCCTTTAGAGCAGTTGTGTTGTCTGTCCAACGTGAAAACCATCAATAACGCCATTTAGTGCAAGGAGGTAAACCCATCTTGCACTCAATTAGTAGGTGAAGCCGATTCTTCTAGCAGAGAGTGCTCAGAATAAGTTTTCCTAACAAATTCATCACACATGGCACTACTCCATCATACACTTCTCATCCCCAGTGTCAGGAAGGTGCCAAAGAAGTAATATGTAAGCATATTTGTTTTCCCTTGTTGGCCAAGATGATCCTCAAAATTTCCTGTTGTGTTTAAGTGATGCTCTACTTGTTCTGAAGTAACATTTTGGCTTCTATAACATTGGAAACTTAAAATAGCTATGAGAAACAAGCATTTTTGTGTGGCAATGACCTGTGATCTGCAGTGACAGTGGCATAGTTCTCATTTATCTTAAAACTACTTTCTTGAGAAAAGCAAAGTTGAAAAACCTGTGTACAGGATATTAAAAAATATTATTATTCAGTTTACTCCCTTATTTTTGAAGTATTCTATCACTCCTGTCAGTTTGTGGATAACTTACATTCTTTTCAGGGTAACATTTTAAGACATATTTTGTCTACATATTAATCTGAAAATGCTTATCTTTTCATTTTGATACTTATGCTTTTCCAGCAAAGTTTTAGACTTTTTTTCATAATGCACTTCAGAACAATTTGAAGGAGAAAAATTTTCCTCCCTTGGAAGATTTGTGATGAATGTCAGGGAAGATGCTATGAAGTTTTATTTCTGCATTAGCAACTGAGCAAGCATACAGAATACAATTGCTCATAAGCTGATTTTAAACTAAGTTCAGTATTCACCTCTGAATGTTTTCATTGTAGGTTGTAGGGGAATGCAATATAAAATTATATAAGTATATGAAATGAACATTTTCAGAAATTCACTGAAGCAATTGATAAAGACTAACTGACAGGCCCATTTTCCAGCTGCATTTGCATTTTTCCATATCAGTATCCACAAATGATAGCTTCTAGGAACGTGGTGCTTCCAGAAAGATTCTTAAAAATTCCTGAGGAAAAGACCAATTAGTTACTCACTCTGACGCCAATTTACCTTTTTCAAACATGTACTTGAATACAAGATGTTCTGTAGCCTATTTGTGAATAGTAACTAGCAAGAATAAACTGGTTCTCATAATCCGAGTTGGGGAATGTCGTGTCTCCAGTACTATTTTCAAGCCTCACTTTCCCTTTGCAAACTCATGAATGCTCAGTTCTCATTCCTGTAAATGCTCTGAGCCTCCTGGGCCACAGTCAGGACAGCTGTGGTATTTGATGGTTGAGTACTCCACTGCATGGAGCTGCTGCATGAACTCATGAAGTTGCTCCGGGCAGTACTATTGGTACATGCAGAATCATCATGCTCAGTGTCTAACATGCATTGAATTAGAAAGTCCTAGTTGGTGACTAACAAGCAAGTCCCAAGGATTTGCTTGTGTGGAAGAACAGTACAGCTGGCTGTAATGGTTTTCAGTATCCTCTCATTCTGTGGCTTTAGAAGCACACCTTTTTTATAATAATGTCAGATAATAAAGACAAAAGGAACATACAATAAAAAAATGTAATCTTTATTATTTTGGCTCATTAATAATGTTCTTTAGCATCAGTTAGGGTAATAGTAGCATTTTCCTGCATGCAGTTCACTAATACCGTATTAGTCAATAATTTTAATAAAAGTAATCTATATTTAATTTTCCTGTGTAAGAAACATAAAATGTCCTGATGTGTTGGATTATACAATTTGGCTACTTTCTCTTTGTGAAAAAATATTGTGGACCCAAGACAACATTTAGAACTGTTCTAGTGCAGCATGAATAAACAAAACAAACAAACAAACAAACAAAATCTTTCAGTAACTGAGAAAAGATTAAGGATTCTGTGAAAGAAAGGTTGTATCTGAAAACTTATGATGCAGGCACTGCTTAGACATTCAATTTGAACTTTACACCATTTCCCAACTGCAAAAAAACTTAGATTTTTAGAAGCAAGTTATGAACTTATTTCGCAGAAAGTATTGACATGTTTGCAAATATTGTAAAAAATAAGAACCTACAGCTATCCATTCTCTTAGTTATATCTCTTCTGGAGTTCTTCTGTGAAAAAGAGCTATGGACAGAAAGTAACAAAAATGGTGTGACATCAGCCTGAAGATAAAATTTAGTTCTTGTTTTATGTACATAATGCTGAAAAATAAAATAAAATGATTTTTACAGTATTTATATTTGCTTATAAAATTCTAACATTATTTTCAACAGGTTTAGTAGTTTTCAACATGTCTGTACAGTTTAGATATACACTATATGCTTTTCACTGAAAATTCAAAACATAAACCAAATAAGCTCCTAAATAGCTGCAAAATATTGCTTAATGGTATGGAGGAACGAGGTCTTGTTGAGTAGTTTATTTCATTTAGCTCTGATGTATGGCTTCCCATATTTAAGAATCCCAGACAGTCAAAGGAACAGCAGCATAGGCAATATAAACATGCATTGATAGCATCCAAACTATCTATAATGGTAGTTAATACATAATTTTACCTGTTGAATGCTTGCACGCTACACTTATTGTGGTACATATTTGATGCAATAAATGTGCTTAGGTCATTATCTGTTTGCTCAAACATGCACCACAGGTTAAAAATTACTATTTACATCGCAGAGGGCTTTTCATTAACATGTACAACAACATCAACCTTACTGAGAGCTGAAGATGGCTAAACAATACTGCAGGATAAAGCAGAACAACTTCATAAAGGGCTCTTTTTGATCAATTTGGAGGGCTGAGGCAGATTCATTTAGTATTTGTATGCAGAAAGACATTTGACAAAGACAAAATCTGTGACTCCAGGCCTAGAAAGAAGTTTGTACTTTCTGAAACTTAATGGTCTGTGCAAAAAATAATCCGTCTCTACTGTTCTTGTGAGTTCTAGGGGACTTCACAGGCATACCAAGACTTGTTTGGACGTGATACAACATGAATACATTAATTAAGCACCTCAAAACCTGTTATTCCTTTCCAGAAACACTGCGCTAAAGAAAATCTGTTGTTCTTTGTGACTTAATGTTATTTTCATGCATGATCTATAAGTGCAGCATGCCTTCATGCAAATCATTTCTGTGTGCATATTAGTTGTGTAATAGAACACCTGGCCCTTGTACCTGTAAAGGTGTACTTCATCCCTGTCCCCAACAGAAGCCCCATTTACAAAAATAGTCACATATAATAAACAACCTATGAATAAAAATAAGATGAATCCACCAACACAGATTTTGTAAAAATACGATGTATGTGGCAGTTGAAATGCAAACAGTGGATACAGTTACCATATTGTTTTATGCTAAACACACAAATACTTGGTTTGCACGCCTTTAACTGGTCCCTACAGTCTGAGTAGCCATTTTTTCTCTCCTCTTCAGCAGTGTCAGCTGGTAGTGAGAACAGTAACCTCCTGTCAAGGTTGTTTCCCCATATCACAGTCACAGTCACTGACAAGGGGTCACTGTCTTTTAATAGGCACTGACCTTTAATGTACAGTATATTTGTAAAAATTGTCAGTTTGGCATAGACCTCCAGCAGGAGTCCTGTTGACACAAACACATGATCCTTACGACTATGAACTATTTTCCACATAGATGATTTTGCTTGCTATTTGCTTTTATTTCTGAACATCTTTATCTTCCTTTTCATGCTTTTCTTTGACTGGCCTTGTTACACGATCATAAGAAGGTGGACAAACGGCTGTTGATGCGGTTATATCGGTTTTCTCTGTAAATGAGTTTTCATTTAACCTGTCAATAAGGATTTCATCTTTCATACCCTGACCAGCCCCTCCTTCGGTTTTGTTTTTGTTATAGATAAAGGAAGCTTGTTTTACTGTTCGTTTTAAAAGGTGACGTCTATAAGCCCGTTGAATAATGACAGCAGATACTTCCTCCTGTTTTCGTTTTAATGTGGTTGTAATTGGTTCATAGGAAGCTTTTGAAGGATTGGATGCCATAAACCGATCTTCCATTTGTATTCTGAGGGCGTCCATCTCCCCACTTTCTCCCAAAACACGTTTTGTGAAAGCAAACAAGATGTCAAGGCAGTGAATTCGGTCACCGCTTACCATGGGCAGATCCATTGCACTAAGCTGGACTTTGTTTGGTTTGGGTAGATGAAGAGGAGGCTCAAGTGCTGCTGCAAAATCAGACAATTTCTCAAATTCCATGAATTGTGTTGCATCAGGATCAAACTTCTCCCAGACTTCATAGAACATCTCAAAGTCATCCTCACTCAAGGGTTCAGCACTTTCTTCAGTAGCAACACCAAAGTTCTCCAAAATCACAGCAATGTACATGTTCACCACTACCAGAAATGATATGATAATGTAGCTGACAAAGAAGAAAATCCCAACGGAAGGGTTGCCACAGTCGCCTTTCACAGAGCTCCCTGGGTGAGCTTTGTTGGGATCACAGTCTGGCTCCCCACTGTTAAGAATCGGGGCCAGCAAACCATCCCAGCCAGCAGATGTGGTAATTTGAAATAGGCAGATCATGCTGTTGCCAAACGTTTCAAAGTTGAACATGTCATCTATACCAGCTTCTCTCTTAACATAGGCAAAGTTGGACATGCCAAATATCGCATAGATAAACATGACCAGGAACAGCAGCAGACCAATGTTGAACAAAGCAGGAAGAGACATCATCAAAGCAAAAAGCAGAGTGCGGATTCCCTTAGCGCCTTTAATGAGACGCAGGATTCTACCAATTCTGGCAAGTCGGATGACTCGGAATAGTGTGGGGGACACAAAATACTTTTCAATCATCTCAGCTAAAAACATACCTAAAACAGAAAAGAATAAAACCAAGATACATTGCCACTTAATCTCCATATAATAGTAGAAATTTAGAAAAATAGTTTTAAAATTAGTGGTTCTATGTAGCAATTAAAGATATTCTGTAGAGTCCACTTGCATAATTTCTGTTATACCAGTTATACTTAATATTTGCAGGTGCAATATATGTTGCATGATTAAAACAGTTTTGATAGTTGGATTAGGTAAATTATTAGATAACATGAAAAGTTGCATGACTTAGTTGTAAACCTTGCAATGGCAAAAGCCAACCATACAGCTCTGTAAAAGTTCACCCTCTTTTTAGTTTAATAAACAAGACTTACCTACTATTGAGAGAATGACAACTACAAAATCAAAAATGTTCCAGCCTATAGTGAAATAGTAATGGCGAAGTGAAATTAATTTCAGGACACATTCTCCAGTGAAAAGGACAATGAACACCAGATTTATCCAGTATAAAATATTTTCCATTTCTTTACTCTGGTCATCAGTTTCTACCATCATGGTAACCATGTTAAGACAAATAAGAATCATGATGCTGATGTCAAATACTTGCTGTGTCACAAAATCAAAGACCATGCCTTGGAATTTGTTCTGAAGAGAAAAGAAAAAAAGAAGCATCCAATATAAACTGTAATTGTTTTTCTTTTCCTGTTAGAAGAAAGTAGAAAAATACATGCAGTGAGGCCTATGAGACTTCAATAAAAATGTAACTAGTGATCTCAGGAGAGCAGTCAAATTAAAGTGGATACAACAGCTTAGTTCAACCTCCTTTGTTTGTATATTCATATGTAAAATGGTTGCAAAAACCCCCCTTTTTTTACCGTGTTTTCATTTTCCATTTTTGCTGACTGATACACTAGTTAATGAAAATTTTCACATGGGCATATTTCTGCTTTCCATATATCAATAAAAACTGAGCTGTTTGTAAATAGCTATTGGTCTGATGCATATAAATAATTTTACCCCTGGTCTTGGTATAGGTTTTTGTGGTTTTTTGGATCCCAGCTTTTTCATTGCATTGTAGTATTTCTTCTGCTCTTCTGTCATAAATATGTCTTGACCTCCAAAGTAAAAACATGAAATCAAAACTGGTTATAATCACACTTATATGCAGTGTTGAAAAAACTCTTAGAGAGAAATGTGATTTATTTATTTATTTCATGAAAATCAAGAAGGCGGAATTGGGAAAAATCTCTTCGCTATCAAATGCAGCTGTATGTAATCTAAGCATTTAGTCCAGAACTTGTCTGGACATCCACTACGGCATCTCACAAAAAGCTGTAATGCAGCATTTTTCTAAAGTTATTTTCCTCAAACTCCAAGAAATCCTTTTCAGTACCTCTTTCCTTTTATAGGAAGAGATACAGTAAACAGCATCTGAGATAAACTCCAATAGTCTGGGCTGCTCAATACTGTCACTTCTGAACTGGAGTTTTAGTGAAAGAAAGGAAGCAGACAAAGTCAGGTTTGCAGTACATGAATGTGTTAGTGCTTTAGGTATCTCTAGTTTAGCAATCACAACATTAGCATTGGGACTCAAAGTCTTCAAGGTTTTTGAGAAGATGGATTATCAGACTTTGGAGAAACTGAGCTGAAGATTGAAGCACTCGATACTGTTAACAGCAACATGCTCTCTTTTAAGTCTTTTATCTTGATTAGCTTCCGTGTTCAATGAAGTTCTGATTAGCAAAAGCCAGAACTGGCCTTTGGAGTCTAACAGTGAAGATAAAGAGAGAATTATAGGTCTTTCATGGCAACCTAACCAAAATCCACTGCCCATAGTAACTTTCTTGTAGAGACAGCTTGAATGAAAACCCATCAGAACTCACATACATCTTGAAGTAAATTTTTCCCAGATAAAAGATACTTGCAGACATCTAATTCCAGGAATGTCTATGAACACATAGGACTGGATGCAGCCCTTTTGTGGATGAGTGTTTGGGAAGCCTGAAGACGTGGGAATGCATGCACCGTACACTGGACAGGCTCCCTAACCATATACCTCTAGGCCTGTAGCATGTACAGCTTCCAAAAATCTTAGCGTCACTCATTAGTAACATAAACCCAAAGAAAGTGATGAAGTCCAGTAAGGTAAAATGAAACTAGTAATTCATAGCTGCTTTTGTCCTTTAGCTTTCATTACCTGATCTATTTACAGAAAATAATTTTAAAGATGAGTGTCTAATATTCAGACCATCTATACCAGTGAGATTATCTACATCTGCAATATGAAAAAATAAATAAAGGCCCTGAGATAGTTACAAACCACTCCTGTTCTGTATAGATTCAGATCATTCAGTGCCACAAAACAGAACTTGAATACTTGGGATCATTAAAACAGCATCTGTAGTAGTGTGATGAAATAATGCTTTATTTTTCATAACCAGGTAGCTTTTTTTTTTTTTTTTTGTGCTGATTGATAGAATCACTACAAATCAACAACAACAACAAAAAAAATTATGAGTGCTTTAATGCAGAGGCCTAAATCAGGGGTTTGATCATGTAAGGAGATTTCATGAAGTTTAGGCATGGAAAAGCAGACGACTTGAGGAAGACTAAACTGGACTTTGAAAGAAAACAGAAGGGTCTGTCCCATTCACTACAGTGTAAAATCTTAGGACATTAATGCGTACTACATCTTGGTAAGATTTTATATCCTAATATACTTCAGCTTTTTCAATTTTGAACACACCTTGGGTGCAGATTCCATATATCATGCACCTGCAAAAATGCAGTATTTAGAATATATTTAAAGAGAAATGAAATAATACTTATCTTCTTTTTTTGCTGATTGAAGTTATCAATAATGACACCAATGAACAGATTCAAGGTGAAAAAAGACCCAAAAATTATAAAGATGACAAAATACAAATACATGTACAGGTTGTCTTCATACTTGGGTTGCTGTAATACCTAAGAAAAAAAAATGTGAAATGTCATTCCTAAGATTTCATGTGAAAATTTCAACTGAACAAGTGGCAACCTTGGGCAAAATGTCCTTAATATTTTGTGTTTGGACAATACTCATGTCACTTATATCAATGTATTTTGTCCATTCCATCTATTACTGACAGCATTTGGCAGTTTGCATACAGTTTTCCACAATTTGTTACAGCAGAATCTCATATTAGTTAATTTAATTTTGTTTCATTCTATTGTATGCATATTAATTGCTTTTGGAAGTTATATAAATACACACTTGTTGATAGACAGACCTCAAGAAAAAAAGATAATTTAAAATATTTGCAGTACTTACATCTCTTGAGTCAATAGCTGCATACATAATATCCATCCAGCCTTTAAATGTAGCCTGTAAACAGTACACACCTGTTTAAGCATAGATCTTGAAGACAATTCATATAATTATTTCCAGCAACTGAATACAGCACCAGGAATAATTAGCACAATATGAGATTTCTAGATAATTTTGTCTCTTGGCTTTCTTCACAGCTGCTCGTCGGATACACCACAGTATATCCCCCTATTTTGTCTCTATATGAACATTTCAAGCAGTAAGCATAATTAACTTATTTCTAATTAATCATCACAAATTATAGAATGCAGTATCGGTGGACTAAATGTTCATGAAATCATGTCAACTGCAAAGGCTATATACAGCTGAGAAATAGCCTTATGTAACTGAGTTGCCACCAATGAAGACTGATGTGTACTCCCTCCCTCTCAAATCAGTCAGAAAGGTGGCAACCAAAGGGAACCAAAAATTTGATCAGCTCAGAAAAGGTATTTTCCTATCAATCAGAATTTTGATTTTTCTCTACTTTGAAAGACTTTACCTGATTTAGTAATTCTATTTTCACTTGAAAGATATTGTATTGTGTTTTACAGAGGCTAGATCCCTCAGATACGTTCTGAGATAAACTGATAAGAGGAGGATGTGTTTTATGTGCATTGAAGATTTAATGTGCCTCATAGATGGCAGCATTTAATGAACTTTTATAGCTATTTCCTCTGCCCAAAATCTGTAAACTTTTATATTTGTCAGTGAGGTGTAGATTGCTTCATGTGAGTGTTCAAAACAGAAAGTAATTTTCTCTGTTGTGGCAATTAGTTCTCTTTTGACTAGACAACATCTCCAAGTAGAAATCACTCAGGTTTTAATCCAGTTGTGCCCAGAATAAAACAAAGAAGTGAGATAGTTTGCTGTCATTTAATCCCTATTATAATTTTTGTAAACAAGGCTGCAGATCATTGGTTCCTTCATATTCCTTGCTATAGAGACCGGTCACAGAAACAGGTCGGGAATGGAACACTCTTCATCCATGGTTATTGCAGTATCTATCTCCATCATCCTGAGGTTTCATTTCTAGTGGAGGTTTCAAAAAGGCTTTGCTTATGCAGCATACAAAGCGGCTGGCATCATCCTGAAGTGAACTTAAAATGAGAAGGAATTATTTTCTTAAAGGAAAGGAGGTCCCTTACACTTTTGAAAGAGTGGAATACTAAAAAGAGCATGATTATCCTGAGATGCAAATCCAGTATGCAATAACTTTCACATCTTGGGGCCAACACAGAAAACATGAAGTTCAAGTAACTTACAGTATGATGGTGAAATCAGTGTAGTATCAGAGGACCAATAAATCAACAATAAATCTGAAACAAGTGTAAGTCTCAGCTGAAGAATTTAAAGTTCTTGTGGAATATTTGGACTGCAAGGGATTAGGAGAGGTAGGATCAGCTTTATTTATGTAATTCCTAATATATGTTTAATGTGTTCTCAGAGACTTTTAATGAGGGACACTCCACAACCTCACCAAAAATACTTATTCCAGCACTTGTCTTTATTGTTTCCTAATATCTAAATCCTTCTGTTGCCATTTAAGACTGTCACTTGTCATAATCATTACATATCTGGAGAACAGAGTGCTAATCATCCTTTGTGCAGCATGTTTTACTTATTTGCAAACTGTTGCTGCCTTTCTTCTTTAGGCTGTGATCACTGTTCCTTCAATCTTTCCATGTAGATCTTGTTTTCGAGAATTCTGATTATTCTCATTATTTTCCTTTGAGCTCTCTTCCACTAGTTCATCTCTTGAAATGGTAACCAAAACTGGACTCACTATTTCAGCTGAGGTCTTACAATGTCTAGATAGGGCAGGATGATTACTTCATGTCTTACAGGTGCTACTGTTGTTTCTGTCTTGGTACATTATTTGCATTTTTTGGAATGTCATAACTTAGGTTGAAAGCAGCACTTCAACCTGAAACACTAAATACAAGTAATGGCATACTTTTACATCAGAAAGATGATGCAAATTAGGGAGTGGCTCTTCTGCAAAGTGTGTGCTGTTGCCTGAGATTCAGATGCATGATAATCCTTGCATATCATCCTCCAGGCAAAGTGGAATTACTGATTTTTTGTAAATTTATTGGTGTAGCCTAGACTGACTAGAGTGAATGGAAAAAAATAGACTAATTTTAAAATACTAAGCTTCACCATCATCAGTAAAGTACTCCATTATAAACAGACAGGACCTTTCAGCTAGTGCTAGGAAAAAGATCTGATGAAATGAGCTATTGTATGCTTATTATTATAATTAAAAAGGCAACTTGAAAAGACTGTGGGGGCTGGAAAAATATAAATATAACATACTACTATCTTGCAGTTCAAAATATCTAAAGTAAAATGCATATTTTCCACAATGGGTTTCACAAAACCATAAGATATTAACATTATTGAAGAAACGAAGAAAAAACAATCCCAAAACCTAATTAAGTAATTTTAATAATAAAATATGCTCCCTCATCACATTATTTGTTTTATTCTAAATCCCTTCTGAAAATCAGTAGGAATCAGTGAATATAATCATCATTATGCAAAACCATTTACACTAGTTGAGAACTTAGCTGTAAGAAAACAGATTCTTAATTCCCAAAGCAGAAGCATCAGTTCAGTAGGAGAACTTGTAATTTTTAAATATGTTGCCTGAACAATAGCAAATAATGGAACTGGAGGTTCAATTCAAGGCATCACATTTAGTTTTTTTAGTGTTATTTCTACTGCATTCAGTAGAAGCTTAGGCCTGCTTATGTTAGGCTCAAATTTATCTGCAACACATTTTCTTTAACAGAAATAAGGTGTTATTTGGGCATTTGTACATACTGAATAGAAAATAACACAGAAATATGACTAAGAGATCAAATTCTTAGTTTCCTTTTTGTATATTCAAATATAAAAATATATGGTATATTCTCAGTGACACTAAAACAGGATTAATTAATTGATTTCAAAGATTAGAGCAGTGTAATTGAAATCAGCATCTGTTCCAAATGCTTTTTTTTTTCCCCCAAGGAAATTTGAAAGACATATTCAAATGCAGATTCAAACGTATTAAGAAAAGCCAACAACACAAAAATCCCCCGATCTACTTTACTATTATTAAAAGTACATAGACTTTTTCCCTGATGAGTAATTTCTAATGAAGTTATAAGTAATGCTGGAGTTTCACCACTCCATTTCTTTACCAGAAATAACCACCAGGAAGATTCACATTCCCTATTGGAGATAGAATAACATCGTGCTTTTAAAAAACTAATCTACAGCCCTAGAATTCAGCTTCTGACTTTTTAACCCTACACTTAACAAGATGTGTTTTCTTATTTATATTAGTAACAGCAGAATAATATAACATTGTGTTTTGAGACCCGCTGGTTTGCCGCATTTTATCCTGGTAAGCAAGATATGCGCTTACCAGCAGGATAAAAGCAGGCCTCCGGGAGATTTACTTACCAAAGAATCCAAACAGTAGGTTCAAGTTAAAAAAGGCATAAGGCCATAAAATTACCAGGGCAGATGCCACATCTCTTTGTGCACACCAACCTCTTCCTCTTCACTCATTGATGCATGAAAATTGTGAAAGGAATTTCTCCAGCAGATCTGTCTCTGCTTTGATGCTTTTCTTTAGGGACAGAGAAATGCTCAAACAAGTTGAGACCAAGAAATGAAAAAAGAAGTTTGCAGATCCATATAGACCAACATGAGCTATGCTGGATCATACAAGAAAAAAAATTTTATAGAGAGAATGTGTACTTGTATGACTGATGGCATGAATATTTACACTCCAACTTCAAATTATGTAAGAATTTTGGAAATTCTCTGATCAACAAAGTCTATGAAACTTGGTTATGTCAATGGAACATATTGTTAGCCTGTATTTTGGGGCAGAAAGGATTGTAACATTGCTATCAATACTAAAGATTTTCCGCACGCCTCCTCCTCCAAAAGAAAATGAATACAATATGCAAACTAAAAATTAGTTTATGTTCCTTTCTGAGGTCCCTCATTCCAGAAATTCATTCCTCATCACTGCCAAGGAAACTCAAGAAAGAGCTTCTCAGAGAGGTTTTTTTTTTTTTAAAAAAAAAGCCACTGCCACACATTTCCAATCTATTTTTTGAGCCTAGAATATTTCTTTCTGAAATTAACCCACTCCTTTTGAATATTTCTGTGTGAAATATCTATGTTTCTTTTCTATATTACTCTTAAAAAAGAGGGTATTTTTCTGCAATGAACAGACCGATGTACTCCAGAAAAAGCTTTTCATGATTCAAAACAAAATTCTATTTCCAATAGTATTCACTCCAGATGGAAAACCTCAGTGATGCAGAAAATAAAGATTTATGTTGTATTACCTATAACCCAGAAGCTGAAGGGGTTTACAATATTCTTCTTTGATTGGCTCAAAGGGCATGAGTCAGACGGTAGAATGGAGAATGGAAATAATGCTGGATTGTAAGAGGCAGTTTTCTGTAGTTAGTTTCTAGTTTCCTGAAAAAGGGACCTTGTATCTGCAATTCATGCATTGATACTTATCACTGAGGTTGTCATTAAAAAGATTACAGTGACCTCTATGGGGGTATTTTCTCAGATCCACCACAACCTAAACAAAAGTCTGTGCCTCAGGTTGTTAAGGTGGAGAACTAAATGACTTCAGTAGACTTTTCAACTAATCATTAAGACGTTAAAAAAGGCCATTAATGTTCACATTGGGTGCACAGAAAGTGTACCTATTTGCAACCATGATTTTTTATTCTGATTTTTTCAGGCTTAATACCTTATTTTGGGACAAATACTGAAGTTTCAATAGCTTTACCTTTGCTTCTGACATAATAATGGATACCTTTAATTAATTCTTAGTATTTACTCATCTTTACTATTACTACAAGCTGATTAGGAAGGGTAGGGAAATCTAGGGTTATGACATACCTATTCAGTTCTCATGTTTCTTCTGAACACAATGGCTTTAGAATCCTGTTCTAGAGTCTCATCAAAAGTACTTTACATATCAAACAGAAAATCACCTGATAAATGTCTTCTTTGATTGAGAAAGTGATGTAAGAATCTCAAACATTTATGAATTGTGGCCTTTCTTGTGTTCTTGAAGGTGAAACAACACAGATTCTGCATATTTTAAAGTATTAGCTGAAAATCAAGCTGATATTTTGTTTTCTCTGCCCTAGGGCTTTTATCATTCCATAACTGCAAAATCACTACTAGCAGCTTACTTACCAAACTCTAAAAGATGCAGGGCCAAGTGTCTGTTTTGTGGAATGACAGAAGTGCACCATTTTTTTTTCTGGTGTGTCAGGCAAAAAATTTCTAAATGCTTTTACAAGGATTTTATTAATACAGAAAGAATAAGTGGTGTTGTCATTGACATTCTACTCACACACACACACAAAAATCCATCCATTAGGCAAGCCTTTGATATTGGTGTAAAATCTCTATATTGTAGATACTGCAAAAACAACTGGCTTGTCCTCCCATGAGAACTAGGTCCCTCCATGGTAGGTCTAGATTAATTTTTCCTTTGGAAGTGTAGGAACAATTGGCAAATTTCTCCCAATTTGCCTCCCAGAACAATCCAATAATTTAAGAATATAAGTCTTCATGTAAGAAATATTTGTTGCTTTTCATTGAAGGGAAAATGGAATAAGCTGTGCATAGCCAGGACACTGAAATATGTATGACTGGAAGTAGCTGAGGGGTGGTGATTGTGGCCACAAAGCCAGGAAAAAATGTACCTGGTGTTATCCCTGTCCCAGAACAGACTAGGTTACTACTGGAAGAAGAGTTGCAAACCACTTGGAAAGAGTTTTGTTGATATTTTGTTTCTCCTGATCATGTGTAATAAAACATTCTGCCCCACCCCGACCCCAAGGGGGATTCTAAGCCAGTGGATTTCAAAAATAAGACAGAGAAAATAAATATTTAAAATCTTTCTATTACTATTCAATTTTGTTATCAAACCCAAATTGTATTCTGGTCCCTCTCTGCTCTTTCCTGATGTGACAGTAAAGTAAATAATTAATCATAGTGAAATTTAAATTGTCAGGGTTATCAGCCACACAGATGAAACACTGTATTAGCTGGGAGAGGCAGTTTACAATGCTCAGAACTATTGTTTTAGACCCATGTTGATACCACTGCATGATGTTAATGATTTGTATTATTGAGATTTCTTATGGCAACATAAAAGCTAGAAACATATTTAAAAACTGTAAAATGAAAACTAAGATTCTGCAGAATTAGACAATAACCTCAAAAAAACATAAAGTTTGCTGAATGCACACACCATAGGTTAGAGCCCATCATTTTCTTGATTAAAGCTGGGTCAGATTGTTAGCTGCTCCAAAATACAAAGATAGTTAGTGTTGTGAGGACACAATTTTTGATAGTGAAGGCATAACCTTCTGCATGTATTTTCTTCCTTCTTTTCTTCCCTCAGTTTTTGCTAAATAAACTCCACCAGGTGCTTATGCACAGAAATAGCAGGGAAAATATTTCATAGATTATAGTATCTAATGGTATTTTGCTTTTCCTATTTCTCTTTTGAATGAGAAATTGCTTCTTAGATCACACAAGTCTGCACTGGTGGCAGTGACATCACTAAGATGGGATTTCCTACTTGGAATTCTTCTCTGTGACTTAATCACACCAATGCAGATTTTTCTTTTTCAGCAACAGTAAAACCTCAAGTATTCAGATAGCTGAATAGCATTCCTAGGTAGTTCTAGAAACTTTTAAAGTTAGAAGGGGCTGTAGAACTAAGGGAGCTATAAATAGGAAGAATAGCACTTGTTCTGTCAGATGTCCTAAAAATTCTTTATTCATCTTAGTAGGCTCTACTTGCTGCTTACTATGAAAACAGTAGTCAGTTATCAGTGCAGCGGTATTACTAAGTCACAGATAAAAATCATCAGGTAAATACGTTTTCTGTCTTTGTTGCTAGAGTTGCTTTTCACTATTACATATAAACAGTAAGAGGTATATAAAGAGTGATCACTTACTACTTGAAGTAAAGAAAGATACCCAAATCCTACATTATCAAAGTTTACTTTCACGTTTTTCCATCGGGCACTTTGATTGTTTTTTATGAGTTCCTCGCACTGACTAAAATTGTTGATTTGGTCGACTTCAAACCTTTCATCAGTTGTGGTGTTAACACAGTAGTAGAACTTCCCAGCAAACAGATTTACTCCCATGATGCTGAAAATTAGCCAGAATATAAGACAAACGAGAAGCACGTTCATGATGGATGGAATTGCTCCTAAAAGGGCATTCACAACCACCTAGTACACAAATACAGGGGAAAAAAGAAAAGAGTGTAAGAATATTTACAGCGATAAAGGTTTGTATACTGTTTTACCAATGCTTAATAAATGCTTGTTCAGAAATGAATACTATAAATGTTAAAGCAGTACATTAATAACTGTAGCATTGCACTGTTCTTTTAAATACTTAACATCAGAACATGTAATGAAAGGAAAAGAAGTGAGAAAATTAAAATAAGTAAAAGAAAAACAGAAGAGAAGACCTGGTGGTAGTAAGATGAAGCCTGACACTGATGTATTCTATATAAAAAAAGACAAATGTGTTAAATATAAATACAGACATAATAAAATTCTAAAAATGCATCAAATTATAGCTTAAAATGTTTAAAGAAAAATGGCAACCTGTAGATTTGATCAACAGAGCTTTGAAATTTAAGCTGAAAACACAAATGCCATGAATCTAGAAACTAAGCTCTACATTAAAAGGATTATGCAGGAATTAAATACGTATCTTTGTTGCCTTATTGTTCCATGCAAGATTATAACAAAGATTAATTTCTTTGTATAGAAAAGCAAGACAGTTTTGCAATATGTGTCTACTTGAATCAACATAATTTATTTCAAGCTCCAGTCTTATTGTTTCATGTATTGAGTTTAAGTCAGTAATACCCTTCATTTATCTAAAGAAGGACATATATCAAGGAGATATTTAGGGGTTTCGATTTTGCATTTTAAATTACTTTTGGCCAGTTGACTTCTCAGCCCCTTGCAGGCAAGATGTCAATAATTACTTATGTAGATAAAAAGTGTATTTTTCTGATATATACAGTAATTAATCACATGTGTCTGTCAGAGCTATCAAAACCTTTGTAATATTTGTTTGGCTAATAGCTGAGCAACCATTTCTCCTTAAGTATCCAATACCAGATCTCATTTACAAGTTGTACTTTATTTTAAGTTCTACTTTCTTTCTCTGTAAAACTTTTAGGACCTTGTAGGAAGGTAAAATAAAGTATAGAGTAGGGTTCTGATTCTCAGTAATCCAATTCCTGTGGTAAAACAGGAAAGGATTGGCATGGATACCTGGGGTGTATTAAGGTGTCTTAGTCCCTCTTTGTTCCCTGCTTTCTGCAACATAGAGAGATCTTCCCCACTACCAGCGTAATTCTGAGCAAGCTTAGAGCTGCTCAGTCTTACTACCTGTATTTCACAGCCTCCTGAAGGCCTTTGGAAGCGGAGTATTGTGGTTGTGTTACTCGTCACTCAGCACCCTCCTCCTCCCAAATGTTATGGCCAGGAATTAGGACCTGTTTAGAGATCTTAAGTAGAAATGTTATTTTCAGGGCATATTTTCTTCTCATTTTAAGGGCCTCCTCCGTTGCCAGACAGTAGAAATGGGACCTTTCTGTAACTGAGAATTATCCCTGTCTTTTACAAAACCATGATTTTTTTCAAATTTAGCTTTTCTTGGCAGCTTCTATTTTTGGTGATAACTTTAAAGGAAGCATGCTTGCTTCTTGAGATTTCTGTTATAGAAAATGTGAAGAATCTAGGTGATGTATGCATAAGCTAGCCATTAAAAAAAAAGGTGTAAAAAGGCTAACAAGGTCCCAGTAATATTCTGAACATAAGAAACCATTTTCAAAGGAGTGAGGGAGATGTTTTTTTACTGTCCTGTGGGGAGAAGAAATCTGTTGCTACCTAGCTTGATGGAACTGAGAGCAACATAAAAATTAGGAATGCAATGACTCTGGAATTTATCCCAACTCTGACCTGGTCTATGACACTGTATTATGCTATTGCTGCTTTGAAATTCTAGGCCAGCTAGTGCTTGTCTTAACTTTTTAAAATTTTTTTTTCCCCTTCACGCATAAAAATGTTCTGGATGTGTTATAGTGATTGAATTCCCCTGTTTAATTGTGGTGAGAAACCTGAAAATAAAGATGTCAGGAAAGAAAGATGGGGATTTAGTCCTGCAACTTAAATAAATTAAGGTTACCTGTGCTTACACGAAGAATGGTTTTGTATGAATTGAGTGCCTGTATCAGTTACCTTTTTAACAACCCTGAGATCCATTGGACTACAGCACAGATCCAGAACAGGCAGCAGAATACTAACAGCTACAGTAATTGTTACAACAATTATGAACTGATAATAGTTGTAGAAAGAAAGATTTCTACAAAACGCCATCAGTGTGTCTCACATCTTTAGATGAACAGGTAATGCAGTCTCGCTACTGAGACTGCCAAAAGATCAGCCACATCTTCTTGAATAAGAAGTGAACAGCTTCCAGCAACTGTTCCAACAACGGTTCCAACAACTTATTTCATATAGGTCACTGAAAACCCATCAAATGGTAACAATTTTTGGTCACTACTGACCTGGCCTGGATGCGAACTGGTGACCTAGAGATGAAAGGCTCTGTATCCTATTACCAACCCCTTGAGCTATCCAGTCCCCCTGGAAGGTTTTTTAAGAAAAGAAGAAAAGAAAATTAAAACTTTTAGAAGCTGTTTTCTGTTTGCATTTTGTTTTTGTTTGATTTTTAATTTTTTTTCCCCCACCAGTGTTGAGCCTTTGCCCTATCATCTTTATAATGTAAACCTGCATTTTTACATGCTGGTCAGATGCTCGGTTGACTGTAAAGTCCACCGTAGGAGGAAGTCTTTAATTTCTTCAACACATACAGTTGGAGGCAATTGCTTTACCAGCGTTTTTTCCATTTACTTTTTTGGTATTTGTTTTGGGAATAGCTGAGGTATATCAGGATAACCAGGACATTAGTTTATGTAATATATATCCAAGATAGCACCCACACGTACACACACAACACCTATGCACATAAGTTACAGCAAACGGACAGAAAAAAGTGAGAACCAATTGAAAAGTGAACTGAATGCAGAAAAGAGATCAATTAGCATTTCTTAATGAGTTAAAAATTTAGCAAATAAAAATTGTCAATCTCATCTTGTTGAAAAGAGCCTGTAGTGGATTAAAAGAATGTTGGCAACTACAGCTCTTATTTTCACTCGTTCTTCAAATCTAGATCTGATGTATGTGAGTCTAAATGTATTTTTCATTTTAAAAGGGGCTGTTCTTTTGGCCTATTTTCTGTTATTCCTTGATACAGAATATAATGCCAATAATTTGGAAAAAGATGTTTGCAGAGTTGTTTGTCTGTTTGTTTGTTTGTTTGTTTGTCTGTTTAAATTACCTATGCATTTCCTCAAGGCTGGGATGTTGTTGGTCAGGCTGACTCCGGTGAGCAAGCTGCAAAAGCCCAAGCTGATTCAGCTTGTTCACCTTCCTATAGCTTCAGGTAGGTGGAATAGCAATAAGTGCAAGTGAGAAGCAACACCTGACACCTACAGACAAATGGGCTCTAGACTATTTTACATCTCAGTTGATATCCGTCCAGGAAAAAAAAAAAATTGTTGTGGGAAACAAATGCCTCCTCTAGAAGAAAGCAGTATTTCATATACATACACAATTTTTTCATGTTTACATTTTCATAATGTTTATCTTCCAACGTAAGAGAAAAGAACTGCAGTGCTAATTTTCTGCCTTATCTTCTGGCTGATATGACATTATGTCAATACAAATTAGTAGTCCAGTTGTTTTTTGTTGTTGCTGTTTGTATCTTTTTGTGGACAACTGTCCAAAGAAGACATCAAAATGGAATTGAAAAAAAAAAAAAAAATCAGTTTTGCTACCAGAACTGTGCATATGTACAGAATGAAGATTGTGCAAAATAACAGCTTATCCCTGCTGTATGAGTATAAGGAAGCTTTAGTAGATTCAGCCTTGCTGTGGGACACTTATCTGAAACACATAGTGAGATATAAATGTATTATAGCTCCCACAGCAAAATAGCTTTGATAGATCCTGACACCTCAGCAGCCACAGGCTTCCCAGGAATTCCTACATTAGACCTGACTAATGGATGTATTAGGGCCTCCTGAAATCTGTAAGCAAACCAGGAACAATCTTCAGTACTGCTTATCCATTTTTTCCGTAACTTTTGCAGCTTCTGTGAAGAAGTTCCAAACTCTGTCCCTGGTGCAAATGAGAAGGAAGTTACCATCTTTGGGATGGAAAGGAAGATTATAGAATTATGTCTAGAACATTCTTCCTACTTAAAATGACAAAGTACTTTATTTGCCTCCACTTTGGAAGTTGTCAACTTCATAATTTTAGGCTTAAATAGGAGAAGTTTCCCAAAGATTTGATGTACCAGATGTCATATCAGAGTCCTTTGAAGGAGTTCATAAAAGGCTATAGATGTTATTTAACTGTTACCTCGTATTTTTTTCTGCAGGTACATTCTCACGTGAGGTTCACATACACAAGCACAGAAAGACAAATAATTTTTACTTCACCAGGACTTTTATGGATGAGATCAAACCTTACCTTCTATTCATGCTATATGGCCCTAGCAAGCATAAAACATGTTCCTCCTGTACTCAATTCCTTGATAGCTGGGAGAGCCTGGGAAAGCCTGGGAAAGCCTTCAGGAACTCCAAGGAAGAAGAACAAATTCTGGCCTTGAATACATATGTCCAAAAAAATGAATAGTTTCTCTCTATTTAAGTGCCTATCTGTATAGTCACACAGTTGTAGACTTCAGATGGTGCTTATTACAAGAAGCCATTAATCTCTCTTAGCAGTAAAAAGATTGAAGACCCAGTTGTTCAAAGACAGCAGCATGCAGAAGGAGTTTGACAATAGCATATATAGCATAAGCCACATTAGAGCAAAATAGGAAAATTCTTTCCTGACTCAGATGAAACACTGACAATGCCTTGGGCAGGATTTGAGAGTAAGCTGAGTATTGCCTTGTCTTGAACAAGTATGAGGTAAGAACATCTGCCATAAGATCGTGAATCTCCCCTGCTCAACTGGCCAAAGTCCAGATGTACACAAAGCTGCCAGAGACAGCATTGGCACTGAAAGATGAAGAAGTGAGCAAGTAGCCATTGGTTTAGATTCTTGGTCCACCACAGAGGTAAGATTGCTGGAATTAGCAGGTAGGTATGCTGTGAGTGGACAGGAATGGAGGCTCAGGTGACATACATGATCTGAGTTTAGCATGTTCTCATAGTGAAGGACTTTGAGGACATCACACAAAGAAGTCTAGAAGATGCTGAAACCACAATGACTTGACCAGGTGGTGGGTATCAGGTAACAGACAGGTGTATTCTCTCTTACACTGTGGAGGAGCTGAGGCAAGGGAGGAAAAGACATAAGGAATACAGTAACTTTCCCAGTCAGGGGATCAAAAGAGCATCTGGGGGAGACCATGAAGAAAGCCCATACCTGAATCAGAAAGATTAACACTATGTGACAGTCCAAGGCAAGGAATCATTGGAACAAACCTTTGTCTTGAGAATTATCATCCCTTGCTCTTTGCTTTCATGAATCAAGAATCAACAGCTATAAGAGAACCAGTGCCTCAGCTCATTTATTTGTATTATGGCAGCATAAGCATACCACTGGACCTTCACAGGCTGAGCACCAACACACTGAGATCAGCTGTCCAGCAGCTTGAATTCAATGTATGGCTCTCCTTCAAGTACTTTTAACTGATAGTTTTCCCACTATCACTGGATCATATGCGTACTATGCATTTTCTAATTTACCCATCACGAAGCATGGGCACATGTTCCTATCAGAGAAATCAGAAATATATAATAGGAACTTCTCTGTATGCAAATAATGGTGTTCTCCAAAGACTGGTTCTTACAAAAATAGACAGATGCTCGTAAGGTGACATGCAATCAAAAAATTTCTTATGCAAACCAAATTTAAGAGAGATATGTACCCATTCTGCTCTTTTATGTCCATATGATAGGAAGGAAGACCCCTAAGTAAAAAGAAAAAAAAAAAGAAATGAAACCCAAACCCCCGGATTTTGCTAATTGCACAGCAAAACCAAAATATCAATTGCCCTATAGACAAACCCTTTTGAAAGGCAATTAGAAATGCAAAGGTCGGTAGTATAGAGCAAAAGATTCCCAAGAATTCTTTAAAGTACCTTCCCCAAAAAATACCTGAGCAGCTCCTTAGTCCCCAGGGATGAAATTCATCTCATAATTGTACCTATGAAGAATGAGGACATTCTTGCAGAGTATCTCTTAGTAAGCTTTTCACACTTCGGGGATCATAGTTGGCTTCAAGTTTATGAGATGGCAGTTTCTGACATTTCACTACTAAAATTGTATACATAAAGATAATCTGAAACCTTGTAGATACGCAGTGTGATGTAAAACATGGTACTAGATTTCTAGAAGAGAAGTACCTTAAGAAACGTGCAATTCCTTCAATTTTCTCATTTGGTTTGTCAGGTAAAAAGAGGAAATGCGTGGACCTGCAGGGTAATCAGTGGTGATAAAGTCTTAATCAACAAACACAATCAACAGGAAAAAATCTCAGCAAATACATTTTCATCAATTATGAGATCATCCACTAGTGCAGTGATGAAATTTGCTACTATCCAGGTTTGTGCAATGATTAACAAGGGTGAAGGTGAGCTTAAACATTTAAATAATTCAGATTAAAATTGTGAAATCCTTAAAATAATTCAGTTGGAAGATGTCCAATTGATGACAAGTTCATTTTCATTGTGAGAGCATCCTGTGACAGATAGCACTGAGATCATGATCAGCAACATGGTATCCCTAAGTAAAGTGTAAACAATCACTAACAAAATAGGCCTAATTCTTTCTCATAGGCAGAGATTTTTAACTGTGTTAAAACTGGTTTGAATTTGTGAAACAGTGAATTATAGCTGTTCAAATCAAGTCAAGATGTCTGCTGCTATTTTACCCCAAATGTGATGATTTATACGTAAGTATACACATATATACACATACATGCACAATAAAACATTTTTTTCCCTTTTTAAACCTAACATCTACCATCTAAAAAATCAAACCTTGGGTAATCCCTTTTCATCCTAAACAGTTTAGAACAAGTTATAAAGTTGAAAGGACTAGCACTTAAATAGCAAAACAGGGATTTCATCAGAATTTCTATGGTTTTAAAATTCCGTACATCATGAAAATTCAAAGTACTGTCTTTTTACTCAGTAAACAGGACACTTGGGAGCAACTTGTTTTCCTAAAATAAAAAAAAAAGAAATCAAAAAAAAAAAAAACTGAGAAATAATTTATCAATAATCACTGGTTTTT